ATATTTATATATATATTATATATATATATATATATATATATATATATATATATATATATATATATATATATATATATATATATATATATATATATTTATTTTCTGGTATTTTTTATTAAAATTTAAAACTACTCCAACCTGCATTTTTTTAATCATATCTCTATTTAAAAACACTGGATTTACCAACTTGCAAATGCAATGTCTCCGGATTCAACTTCCGGCTCCGGAGCTGCAGGTTTTATCCGCTTTTATTCTGAAAAAGTCTGCACCGGAAGTTTGTATTTTTTTTCCATTAGCAAATCGAAAATGTGCTATCGTGAACGTGTGACAGTTTAACTGTACTCATCCGCTACCGCCCACATCAAGGTAGGTGGAAAAGGTCGTAATGGTTCTTGTGAGAGGACCTTGTTAGTAATATTTAGCTTTATAACAGCTAATATTGGTTCGATGAGGAGCCCCCCGTTAGCTCAATGTAACGTTTGATTGCGAAGAAGATTATCGTTTCTTTCTGTCTAATGTCTGTCTGACTTATTAAATTGAGCTAACAGAGAATACTCGAGGCTTTTAGTCAGAAGAAGTCTCAGGTATGTTCGCTTTATCAAAACTTAAATCAAACATATTTTCTGACGCCCTAAACAGCTAACATCCGAGTTCACCCCTACTCTTCCGGGTTAAACACTAAAGGTGTTTCAAAACGTTATTTCCCTTTCACCTGTTCAATATTTAAAACCAGTTATATTTATTTAAACTTTTATAAACGTTACCTTCAGGAGCTGCATTGTAAAACTCCTCACTGATGCAAAACAAATGTTTTAAGTCTTCGTTGAGTAGCAACCTGTTATAGCCTACACCTTTGCACAGGAGAAACCTTAAAAGTATGTTTTATTTTTTCTTGAATCAATGGAAGGCAGTAATCATGTTGACCGAGTCAGGGTTTAGTTGACATGAAAAGTGGATTTATCGTAATTTATTCTTTTCTTCCTAGATAAATCTAAACATGGAAGAGTGTGGAGATTGGGAAATTAACATTCCTGTGGAGGCCGAGGTGAAAACCGTTCCCCTGAAGAATTTACCGAACTCAGTCATCAGAAGAATAGGCCTCCCAGTCTCTGAGGGCGACTCCGCCTGGAAGCAGAGTGACTCAACAGATGTGACATGGATCTGTCCAGTGGTGGTCAGACGGAAAGGACAGGAATCTGTCTCAGGCTCAGGAAGACATTTGGCTGACAACTTGCTCCCGTTTGTAGGCACGCAGGTTCCAGCCAGTCCTTTGAAAATGTCTTTTGTTTCCTCCAACCGAGCAGCCAGGGACGTGCTCAAGAACATCTCCCCTGGAAGACGTTCATCCAAAGAAGAGTTTTTGAGTCAGGACACAGCTCTGCTGGCCAATGATGATGCTGTCGTCGTCTACAAAGGGCAGATTTATCTGTGCATCAGGAAGGCCAAGAGAAGAGCTCGGAGGACACGGAAACAGCAGCCGGTATGTCAGGCTGCCATGCCTTCAACATCAGGCCAGCCATCTACAACCCACAACAGGGTAAATTAGTTTAGCAAAACAGGAAGAATTGTCTGTGAAAACTGAATGGTTCACTCTTACCTCTAGAGCCCACACCAACCTAAGGTCATACTGGAACAGAGAAAAGGTCATAACTTTTCTCTGTTTGCCTGCCTAGCCTAGCCTACTCCCCTCTGACTACAGGAAACGGGCATTGAAAGGTTCACGAAGAGCTGAATTACGACCAATCAGAGGGGGATCCCACCCTTTACTATCTCTGATTGGTTTAGACTACAATATGGGCTCAATGTGTCCCAGATTGGGCCCAGTTTTTGTTTTATTACCTCTGATGTCTGGTTACACCAGAGGGACTTGAGATTTTTTTTTTCCCAGATGTACTATTGAGAAATCCGGTCACATTTGTGACCAAATTGGTGGCACCCTAGAGCACCAGCAAAGTTTCCAGATTGAAACTTTATAGATATGTAATTTTCAGATGGGATGGAACTGAACAGTCTTTTTAAGTTTTTCCTTTTAACACAGTACGTTTAAGCCAGGCTGGGTGGATCTTGATGTGCATTTTGGAGAATGTAAATGTGTCACGAATTATTCTCCTTACTTCACTTCTACGCTGCACATCAAAGACAATAAGCAGAGGTTAAAATGAGGAATTTACTGTGAAACATTTCCTGTTATAAAACAATCTGAGTCTGATGTTCTGTTTGCCCGTTTTCCAGGAGCTCATCGGTGGCAGACCGAAGACAAAAACCAATGCATGTAAAGTGAAGCGCTGTGAGAAGGCTGCACTGAAAACAAAAGGCGTTTCCTCTGTCAGGGATGCGTCCTCGGCCCCTCGGCCTTCTGACGGCACACACAGAGCTGACGGTAACAGTCCAGGAAGAAACCAGGAAGAGGCTTCTGTCTGGACCAATCACATGAACGGGAGTCAGGTGAACAGTCAGGACGATGAGCACAGTGGCAGCCAGTGGTGGACACAGGCAGAGCCTGTTGGGGTCGCTGCCGCCTCCATATCCAGAGATTCTGAGTATGAAGAGCTGGAGCGGGAGGAGGAGATCGCTCACCTGTATCAGCTAATTTAGACGTTAAATAATGAGATGATATGGCATTTGTTTTTTTGTACACTCTTGGCTCTGGATTTCTTCTGCTCATTCTGGACTCATTTCAAACCCATGATCACTGCGGTCAGACTTGGAGGATGTCTCCATAGAAACTTTACAAAGACAAACCCTTTATTTAATGCTGTAACAGCTCCTCTTACATTCAGATCTATAGACATTATTAAACAGTTGTTTGAATCTTTTGAAATGAGCATAAATAAACTATGATGAACTGACCTCTTCAGATATTTGTTTTATTTCAGCCGAAAGTCCAATTACTAAAATACACAGTTCACCTAAGTAACTTTTATGGGTTAAAACCAATTATGTGTGCTATCATGTTAGCGATCAGCTTAAGAAAAAAAGAAATGAACATGTCGTTTTATATAAAATGAGTTGGACAATTTAAACCTCTTGATTCCTAAATCACTGTTATTAAAGTGACAGAATCCAGCTTTTATTATTAATAATAAAACATTCATATTTGTTGAAACTGTCACTATGTGGTGTCAGTAAGGTATGAGATGAATAATCTGTGATCAAACTGAGCTCCTCTGCCTTCTCCTTGTGCTAACTAGAAATAACCAATCAGAGCCAGCAGGTGGGTCTTAGCGCTGTCAATCATCCTCTTTTGATGCTGCTCACACCCCCTCTCCTGCTTCCCTTTGTTTTCTACTACACTGCAGCCAGCATAGCCTGTCATGAATTCTCAGGTTAGTTAGCATAACCACCAGTGGCAGCGGATAAATGGTTTTCCTGTAAGTAATTTCTCTGTCATTAGCACGTTTGTAGCTGTGATTGACAGCATTAAGCCCCTCCTCCTGGCTCTGATTGGTCAGCAGTGGTGTGTTTCTTCAGACAGCAATAGCAGCTCAGGGAGGAGATGCAGGAGATTGATCTTTTCACAGATTATTTGTCTTATAGTGTCACAACATGGTGACAATTTTAACACAAATGTAAAAAAAAAAAAGTTACATAATGGAGTTTTAAGGTTTCTGTTACAAGTTGTGACCATTTTCTAATGCAGTTCAACTTTGACACACTTCTGAAGTTGCCGTTTCACACGTTTAGCCACCAGGGGGAGTTAGTGTTATTTCTGCCCCGTTAAATTGCATCACAAGGCCTTATCCAGCAGCTGTGCTCTGTGTCACGGTTTTTAATGTGAGGCCAGCCTCACACGTTGGACGGCAGGATGTGGAAGACAGAAAAGCTGACAGAACTCTGGTTCTTCTGTTCATTTCTATAAAGTACTCTTCACGGTGGGTGTAGCTGCTGCTGTTTTGACGTTAATAAACTGGTGGACTGTCTGGACTACAGGTTGCATTTCTAACATTTATTTAATTTTTTTGTTGCATTCTCCTTCCAGTCCTTAGGCGCTCGTCATCAGTCCTTCGGGTTTTCTGAATCTGATTACTTCTTTTTGTTCTCTTTTCCCCCTCTTGTTCTTTCTGTTAAAGCTTTTTAACACGTCTCTGCAGTTATAGAGTCAGATAGCACAGAAGTGAGGAAACAAAGACAAGTCCAGCAGTCCATCATTAACAGATGAGTATTTGAGCAGACTGAGGAAGCAGAGTCAGACAGACGCTCCATCCTTCAGATTGAGGACGGGATGCCAGGTTGGCAACTATCTACTCTGCTGGACCTGAAATCCTACTTTCTTTCTGCCAAATAGCTTAATCTTTGGAAAGTCTACAGCCACTGTTGTTGAAACAACTTGGGTTTCTGTGACTGAAGATCCTGTTAAAGGGGCAGCATCGGTTTTTCCAGGCACATAGTGTTATTTTTGTAGCACAATCAGGTAACTATGTTATCTACAATTGTTATATAAAAAAAAGCTACATCTATATATCAAATTTGACTTAAAAGAAGTTTGACTTTGTAACTTAATGCCTTGAAATTGGACCTCTGTGTCTTTAAAAACTGTTGTTCTTCAGGACTGTTGTGATGACTCCCCTTTGGGAAGTCATCCCTACCAGGCTGCTCTGTTAACCTGTTAGCACTGAGAAGCTACAAGGGGCTCAGCAGATGTGCAGTCCCACCAGGTGTTTGCTAATTTCTTTTGGCTAGTCTGAAGGAGCTGAGTGAGGGATGCATGAAATAATCAAGGCAACACTCCAGGTATGTTTTCTGTGAGGGAATAACATGATGGAAATCTCAAAAAAAGTAAATTGTACATAAAACTGCATCTTTAAGAATTGGTTCTTTGATGATTTTTCTGTTTTGTTTTGTTTTTTAGACTCAACACTGAAATTGCTGTCTGTATGATTTAAAACTCGCCTATCTTAAACAAAACACGTTCTTTTAAAAATAACCAGGACTGAAATTTCACTGGACATGAGTAAAAGGAAGCAGTGTAATGAAAAACTTTGACAAAGAGTTTTTCAGGTTATCAAAAATTTTTCATGACACTCCTTCCTTTTACTCGTGTTCAGTGAAAGTCTAAGTAACTATTGACCAAAAGCTGTTTTACAGGAAGGAAACAGGACTGTTGCACTTTACTTTTGTTTTTGCTTTTGACTTTTAAAAATGACTGCTTGTGGCTGGATAACTAGATCACTAGATAAGTGAGTCTGTAGCACGTCCTCACACTGAGCACTTTCACCCATTAAAAGCCTTCGTGTTGAAGTGAGAAATCTGATTGAATTCCTTTTTTGGAAGACACCCATGAACAACACACTTAGCCTGCCTAAAGGTGGACAGAACTGAATGACTCCTCTGTGTTCTCGTTCTGATACCGATTACATGACGATGATATGGCCCAGTAAATACTCTGATAGTGGTTTGGGATGAGATCGGAGAAAGAAACTACGTCAGGAGCAAGTGAGGGAGGGAGAGAGAGAGGACGTCCCCCTGGCTCTCTCTGTATAAGTGTGCAGGTCGGTTGAAGTCCGTCTAGCCAGACAGGATGCACCCCTCATGCCGCCACTCTGCCCCAACACTCACACTCAAGGTAAGCCGCCGCCGCTCCGTTCTGCTGCTCATTCACTGCCTAACCAGTCAGGTTCTCTACTAGACACGGTCACCTCTCCTTGGTGCAGGAAGATCAATGCTTAAATCAATAATATGGTGGAAAAATAAGACAATCTGCTCAGATGGGAGCAGAGGGAGATCACTGTTCGGCTTCTGCATCAGCCTCACCTGCGTAAAGGCTCATGAATTTCTGCTTAAGCGTTCAGTGATAGATGAGTTATGAAAGATTACACAATACAGAAAGATGGATTGCATTTGTTTCAGTCTTCATATGTTTGATCATATGAGGAATACATCACCTTGTTACATTTTTATTACAGAAAGCCTTTTTTTTTAAACCAGTTTTTAAATTCAACGAGACCTGATGATTTGCTGGATAAATGTTTTGATTTCCATGTGGAAAACATTGGTTTTAAATTAAGATACTGCTGTTGTTTGCTATATTTAACCCCAAATATAAAATGAAATGAACATCTGTCGTTTTATTGACATTTCAGATTGTCAATGTTAGATGAGATACTACATATCATTAAGAATATCATTATTCTTTATCTTGCTGTTTCAGACATTAGCTTCAGTTTAGTAGATCCAGTTAGTGTCTACCTTTAACAAAATTTAAAAATCAATTTCTCTGTGTGTGTGTGTGCAGTAAAGTTATTATAAATCTTAAGATGCTATTTATCTTGTGTGTGACTTTGATTAGACAAACTGAATAAAAATATGCTTTATTGTTCTTTCAGTAAAAAAGCAGCAAAAGCTTTATTATAAACATTGTTAAAGTGGTTCTTTAAAAATTTTTTTTTTAGTAATGTGATTTTGGGTTCCAGACCTAGAACCACCCAGGATGAAACTGCTGATCAGACCCGAGTGATCATGAGCTTCAGCTCATATAGGCTAGTCATGTTCTATGGTTTCCAGAGCCAGTCCACCTTCCTCTTCTCCACACACAGGAGATAATGATTTTATTATGTGGCTTCATAAGGCCAACATGTAATAATAATAATAACAATAATAATGATAATAGAATAGAATGGAATAGAAATGTCCTTATTTTTCATCTACAGAGTGGAAATTCTGATGCCACAGCAGCAAAGTGACAGGCGATCTAAGAACGTAGACTCACACAAACATAAAATATATATTAAAAAAGAATAAAAAAAGAGTAAACAGTACAGGAAAAGGAAAATTTCCACATAAATTCTCTGCACTTATTAAAAATAGCATACTTAGGTCCAAAGGTATGGGCAGGTTAATAAAAGAAAAAAAAAGTGTCTGAGCATTAAAAACTGACAACTATTTGCAAAAAGTGACAGTAAAAGCAGAAATCTTATGTGAAATGAGTAAAGCTGTGCAGATACCAGCATGGGTGAATCCAGTTGGTCTGTGATCTGCTGTGACGCTCCGGAGCGCGTTTAGAAAGCAGCAGTGTGTCACAGAAGGAGCTCTGCAGTCCAGCAGCAGTTTCACGCCTGGGGCTTTATGTTCTGCTATCACAGTGTCGGAGAGCTGACCTTAAATGTTCCCCTGTGCTTCCAGGTGTTGTGTGTTCGGATCTGGGTGTTCTACTGCAGCATGTGTCTGGCGGGTTGGCCCCTGTTCTCGGAGGGGGCCCGGCTGCGCTGCGGCTCCGAGCTCCTCAGTGACCTCCTGTTCGTCTGTGGGGATCGGGGCATCTACTTAGGTGAGTCTCCCTGTTTGTTTCCACGTGTTTCTTTGTTTTTGTGTGTTTTCTGCAGCCTGCAAGTTCATAGTTTGGGATGGATTTTAACCAAACTGGTCAAACTCAATGAAAAGTAGAAGACTTGATTGCTTTATCTGACTGTTTTCCTTAGAAGACTAGGTTGATGAACTATGCCATTTCGTTTACAAGAAAAAAACTTAGCAAAAATTTAGACAAAGGCTGTTTTTTAAAATACATTTTATGGTGAAAATTCAAGTAACAGGATTTAGTAATCTTACATTTCCAACTTCTGTAAAAACAGACAAAAAGCTTTGATAACACATAGATTAAATTCATTTTAATTTAAACATATTGGACACTTTCACAAACCAATACTATAATTAACAATATTAGTTTGTGGTAATATGACTGTTAAATTTATCTTTTTTTTTTCTTTACACATCCTGGTTCACTGTCTAGTTGCTACAGGTGCATTCAATTCCAGTACATTAATTGTATTTTTGTAGCTTCAATGAATATCATTTTAAGACACTTTGCACCAGAAATATTTAAGCAGACGTATCCAATACAATATAGTTAACTGAGATGTCAGCAAAGGGAGGACGAAGACTGTTGCTCAGGCAAAACATGCATGGAAAATGACAAGTACAAAATCAATTGTCCTGCGAATAAAATTAGTTTTCTGACTGAAAAAAAGAGAGAAATGTCTCCTGAAAATGTCAAAAAAAAAAATATTTGCTTCTTATGGAGAGAAAAAATGTTTCTAAAGAAACAAGAACTTTGATAATAAAAATGTAAAGTGATAATTAAGATACTTTGTCAGGATACAACAGAAAGGCAGGCTTATTTTAGTTTGGTTCAAATAAACATTCAAATGCCGAGGAGGAGGTTATATTGTCTGCTCACACCAACACGGAGCTCCTCCACTGTTGTGGCCCTGGTCAACATGTCCGAATGAAAACACTGATGTAACTCTGAGGAAGTTATCAGTTCAATAACACAAACACTTACTTCCCTTTGATACACGGAGCCGAGGCTCGACCCTGAGCATCATCTCCCACTGGACAATCATCCGGGTTTCCGCTTCCGTGTGTCCAGCTGCGCTGTTTTCAGCTCTATCGTCTCTACTAGCGTCCACACAATTACCCAGAAGCCCTTTCACCCGATTACCTTTCGCCCCGCTCCGACCAAGGCCGCTTTTTGCTTGCGCTATCAGACTGCTGCGGGTCCACCGACGAGGCGGTGGACTCTCCAGAACACTGTGCCTCGGTGTGCGATAGCGTTGTTGTTAAAACAGCCGCTATCTGAGAGCAGCTCAGCATTCCGACTGAAAACGGAGGAGAAGGTGCAGAAAAAAAGGAGGTGGAGGAGGAACTACGACACAGTCGGTTCCCTCTGTGCTTCAGCTTCTGGAGACGATGGGCAGCTGAGTGTGGCGTCCAGTTCCAACCAAATTCTCCCGAAAAGTCGGTGTGAGAACTGTGTATTCGGGTTTACCGAAGCGAGAGTTGTTGACGGATGACTGAGCGATCTTCTTTGCAGAAAATACTCGAAGTAGCTTTTTTGTAACTCCACATGAGTATGTTGTTTTTGTTCTAACCTCTGCCGTGCAGCTTTCCCTCTTCGCGAAACACATTTTGTTACTTTTTTTCCCTCGTGAACTCTGGGGCAAGCAGAAGGGGTAGAGGATACCTCATGGATGCCAGGAGAGCTTCAAGCAGCAGCCAGTCAGGCTGATTGTCTGGCGAACTAATCAGTGTGCAGAAGATTAAAATAACTACTGATAATTTGATGATTCAATTGAATCCGTGCAAAAGTTAAATAAACAAGAGCAACTAAATAAATAAGAGATTATTGAAAGCATACGATGTCAAAAAAAATATCCTTCGGATTGGATTCAGTTGGATTGCACTGATTTGACATCCTCACCCTAATGCGGCTCTTGTTGTAGATTTACACTGTATAAAAAGCCTAAACTGAGTACATTCAAGTGAATTATTTTATTATTATTAACCATGTAGCATCTTGTCCTACAAATCTCTGGGTTTACTCCGATGTTTTGTTCGTTTGCTTAAGAGGATGTAAGAAAAGCAGGAGCCATGATGCAATCATATTTGCAAAAGAGAAGACTGAAACAATTAATCGGGTTAATCGTGACAAATTGATGATTGGAATATTTGTTGACTAATTTAGTAATCGCCTAATTAGAGTATACTGACTAAAACAAAAGGCCATTTAATGAAAGAACAACACAGAACAGTAATTATGTCAAAACTACAAAAAAAACCATTTTGCATTTTAGATTAAAAATTTTTTCTTTGTCTGTAAACCTGTTTTTATCAGAGCTTGTCCAATGGCAGTTTTAGCTTCACCAAAAAAAAAAAAAGAAAAAAAAAATCTTATTTAGGACCTAGTGTCCAATTATTAATTGACTAATCTACTGTATTGATGAGCTGAAATGAATTTTTCATTTCCATTTTCACTTCTAATATTGTTCAAAGGAAAAAGTCTGCAGATGTTCTGTTAACCCATAATGGTTATTTGCAGCCCCTGGTTTGTTTACATGAGCGTTTTGCTCCAGGTGAGCTGACATGCGGTGCGTCTGTCCCTGCAGGTAAAGGCTCCTGGTCGGGCTACGGCCCTCGGCCCAGGGGGAAGGGAATAGTGGACCAGTGCTGTAAATCCAACGGCTGTGAACTATCCCACCTGGAGATGTATTGTGCCAAGCCAAAAGCCAAGCAGCTAACCACAAGATCCCCAACCACGACTTCAACCACAGCAACACACACAACCACTGCAGTGCTAGACATGGTGAGGCTCTGCTTTTCTTCATTTATTTTAACTTTTTTTATTTGTTTGTTTGTTTCGTCTTTATTTTAACATCCTCCACTGAACTTTAAATCTTACCTGGCCTTGCAGTTTGAAGATGTGTTTCGGAAGAGGCTTTTGGAGAACCTGGGAGCTCCCGACAGCCCACAGAGAGAGGCCTACAGAAAGAAAACTCCTTCGTCACTTCCGTGGAAAAGCAAAATGTCGTCGTCACGCGTGAGGGTGAACATGCAGAACTCGACCAGCTGGCCTCCCTCGGCCTCGGGACGTTCCGGCTGAAGATGTTTAGCAGACTCCAAATCTGCAGGACAGTTTCAATATGAAAGATTTGATGACAGCTCGAAGAAACTCTCGCGTGAAGTTAGCGAGTCAGATAAGAACCCAGACGGAGAGGGCTGTGGAGATCTTTGTAAGATCTGGAACAAGCAGACTGCTGAGCTGCTTCCAGACCAGCTGTCACTTCCTCCTTGACTCCCCCCCTCCCATCCAGTAACACCGCGACGAGCCTCTGCTACCGTCTGTTCTGGTTTCCTCCTCACCTTCCCATACAGGATGTCCAGGTCCGTGCACTGGTGTGACTGGGAGCTTAGTGTGTGTGATGCCTGAAGCTGCTCCTGCCAGCCTTGCTTTGGTTTCGACATCCTCATGTCTAACCTGCTGTTTGCTCTGTGAGTTTGCACATGTTGAGTTACGGGCCAAGACCTGTCTTAGCCACTTTAGTTCACATTTTTTGGTCAGCTCTGTTAGGCTTATAGCTTTTCTGTTTTGCGACAAACCGTAGATGTCTAGTGGGCTACAGAACGCTGTAGGCCGTTGTGTGTGTTTTAGCACTTTTTACTCCTATGCATAGAGAGGTTTTCATACTGACTTGTTTTCGTTCAGCTTTATTTCATTTGAAGTGTAAACCTTTTTATTTTGTAATAATTTGTTGCACTCACTTATTTATTTCACCACGACTAGAACAAATGTTGCAGTTTTAATAAAACTTGTAATTCTCAAGAAGAATGTGACATTCTTTGTCTCTTGGCTTTCACCTGAGCGTCGGAACCGATTCAACACAAGTCGACGTGACATTTAGCAGAATCGCAAACATCTGGTTTGAGGCGACTTAGCGTTTGGACGGCGATCGGTTTGGAAGAGCTCTGGAGGTCATCACACGTGTCTGCGTGGAACAGCCTGATAAACCGGCGAGCTTAAGCAACATTTTAGGAAGATTAGTGGAGAGGATTATTCTGCTGAAAAGAATGAAAAGCTTTGATTTCACTTTTTTATCTACGCTTTTCAGCGTCGGTAAACCGAAGTGAAAAGAAAAACATATTGATAGAAATTGAATTTGTAGCAGCTTGTCAGTTTTCTGCTGAGATAATTGAACCTTGACCACCATTTTTATTGTGCTTAAATTAAAGTGATTTGATAAAACTAACTAAACAAACATAAACCGTCGCTCCTGAATCTAGTTTTTGACATAGGAAGATAAGCTCAAGATAACACATGGGGTTATGATTACATAAGCAGTCATAATTTCTATATCATAACTTTTGCCATATTAGGGCATCATTTTAAGTGCATGAACTGACCAGTTCATGTTTGTACTTGATATCTTTTTTTGCAAACAATGAAAACAAAATGATAACACTGTTAAAAAAAATAACTCTGAATAAAGGTAAGTAGTCCTCTCATTGGGGACAATTTCCACAAATCCTTATTAAGCCAAACAAAAAGTTTAAGAACTGATCAAGGTGCTAAATGATGGATACATTCAAAAATATTATGACAGGTACAAGATCATTTCTGTCCAAATCATCATCAGTTAATGAAAGGTGATCTGTGGTGGATTCCTGTCTGAAGCCTCTAATGAAAGACAAACCCAGAGGTGGATTCATCTCCAGCTGATCTGGTTAAGTTTGCGTTTTAGCTGCTGTTGCAGGCTGTCAGTATCTGACTGCTCAGACAGTGTGAAGGCCAGTGTTGAGGTCAGCCTTAAGATGGCCTCCACAAAAGAAAATATACATCATTTTTTTGTTGGCCTCAAAGCTGTAGGAAGTGAAGTTTTGTGGAAAACAGAATCAGCTAAAGAATCCCAGGAACAGATAATCTGATCTGGTAGAAGGTGGAGTCTGGATTCAAGCAGCTGAACGTCCTTGTTGTTTTTTTTTTTTAATGTCCTCATGGTTGTTAGCTCAGGACCCTTTCTGGAGATCTTTCAGATTCTTTCTCTGGACTTCATGCAATTTTTTTTTTCCATTTATTTGTCCTGAATCCAAATATTTCCCCTTAACACGCCATATTTAATTATTCATGACAAAAAGGTTCCCAAACCCAGGGAATTTCAACTCAATCTTTGGAGACAATTTGTTCTAATGTCTTTAGTCATAGAAATACCAAACACAACTTGGTTTGGCAGGCAGAAAATGGCAAAAGCAATTTGATTCTTAAACTGCTGCTTGCTAAAAACGTGACCTGCAGGCTGCAGCTGATGATCGACTGAAGAACACTGTAACTCTGGTTCTGTTGAGAGTTTTTGGGCCTCAGATATTCTCCCTGTAGAAGACCAGCCTCTCAGCATCAACTCTTTGACTAAGTGGACAGAAAAGTCAAAGTGACTCCAGTGACTGGTGCAAATTACTCACTGCAATAATCACAACTTTTTCAAAAAGCAATGCAATATAAAAACCACAAATATTATATTGCAATTCTAGATGATCTTACTCTGCTTTATTAGGAAAATAGGCTGGAGATTCAACTGAAAAAGGAACTTCATTAAGGGGGTTTAGTCATTCTTTCCACTATAATTCGAAGTAATCCCAAGATAATTTCTTTACTAATTTGCACAGTGATTAGTGCTATGAATTATCACTAATTATTACATTTTGTAGCCATTGGTTAATACATATATAAATTAGATATCAGCAGTAAAGCTGCCAGAATGAAAGTAATTCTGCCTCACCTTTGTGTCTTAACCACCAACCTGCCAACATAAATGTATGGTAACCATTGGATACGACGGTGACGGCGTGGCTATCTGAACGACAGCTTCCCTCAAACCCCAAAACGTTTACTGATTTAGAGGTGAGGCACTCAATAAAAATAATCTTGTTCCAAATTGTTGGCAGAAAGCAGTGATCCATGTGTCAGCTGGAGCATTCCTGCAGAGGCAGCCTGTCAGTGACCCAACGCGAACTCGAACTCGCAGCTGGAATCTAACCGTGTTTCCAGTCAGCAGAGTTCAGCTTCAGGAGAGCCGGGCTGATGCAGAGTAGACGCAGAACACGACGCCGTTACGATTTCAGGAGGCGTCTGGAGCTGGAGGGCAGCGGTGAAACGCTACCTTCACTAGCAGCCTTTACAGGTCAAAAGGGGTGATTTCAATCCAGGCATTTTTAAAAATTCAATGAATTGGTTGAGTTGAATTGGTTGAAATTTACGTCAAATCTATACCTCCAGGGTCTAGTCATGAAGTCATATTCAGATCATGTTTGCATAGAGCCAATATTTATTTGAGCATGGAGATTTTGAGAATCAAGAGAAGAAAGCTTTGTCAAATCTACCTACCCTGATGTGAAAAACGAAATGCTCCTCCTAAGTCATGAACTAAATGCAAATAATCAGATTTATTCCAGAGCAAAGGTCAATTTCAAAAGTCAGACTGAAGTCTGATTTCTGCGTACAATCCAGAAATCCCTCAAACTGAAGCAGAGAACTAGAGCTAAAGATTTCAAAATCCAACAGAGAATACCTCAATGAGAATCAAAGTCTCAGTCGTTTCTAATAAACCTGGTTCTTAACATTCAGTGTTTATGTTGAGTTGTGACATCATGCATCATTTTGATTGGTTTATTGATTCTATTCTTAAGTTTTCATTTTTACCTTTTGGTAGTTTCGTGGTTCCCATTATTTGTTCACAGCTTTACTCAGTAGTTTATATACAAACTGTGAAAGAAGTTAAATAAAATATAAGAATAACAATATATTTTTACACTTATGTTTTTACATATTTTTTACATTTTATGTTAAAAATATGTCGTTTTTACCCCAAATTGTATGGATGGATGGATGGATGGATGGATGGATGGATGGATGGATGGAATAATGAAATGTAAACCGGTGTTGGTATGACTCAAGCTTTGACCTTCTATATTATGTATATTATAAAGGTGTGAGCATGTGTGAGGGTGGGTTTTGTTTGTTTGTGTTATGTGTGCGTAAATGTCCGCGCACGTGAATGCGTGTGTGTGTGTGTGTGTGTGTGTGTGTGTGTGTGTGTACACAGTACAGTACACTTGTCCTATAAATCACAACAAATAAAAGAAAATTTTTCCAAATCAGTTTCTTTCAGTATAAAACTTAAGAAACTTTAACAGAAACTGCAGGTGTGTCTCTGTGTCTGGTGAATATTTGTTTTCCTCCAGTGGGTAGAGAATTATTATATCATAATAAAACGACTCACGTAAAAGTAAAAAGTACAGCAAAGTAAAAAAAAAAAAAAAATACTCCTAAAAGTTTTTTTTCTTTTTGTCAAAAAAAGTTACTGAAGTAAATGTAACTGAGTAAATGTAACCAGCCTGGCAATGTGATTTATTATTGAAGACCAGATCAACTAGAATTGTTTTTGGTTGTTGTTTTTTTTTCTTGCAATCGGACAGACAATCTTCTTGCAACAACACTATACTGAGTGTCAAAAAAGATAACATTCATCTCTATGGGGTTCAGTTCTGACTGAAGCGAGCAGCCCAGTGCTGAAGCGTTTGTGTTCAGAGAGGCTCTTGCAGCTGGGCAGCGATAAGGAGCGGGTGGAGAACTCTCTTCTTGGGGCAGCTTGCGTCACACATGATAGCAATATTTACTCCCACTTCTTCCCATGCAGCCATGCCCCAAACCCCCCACCACACACACGCACACTGTTTGATTCTCATGGCCAAGAAGCTGCTGTTGTTTTCAGCTATTTGCTGGTAACATTTTGCACACAATATTTTTATGGCAGGAGATTAGCAAGCTTGTGCTCAATGAAAAGTGTAGCCTGTGTCAGTGGCGTCATCAGTTTTGCAGCGCTCGGCTTTTAAGCGGTGCGTCTCCTTTTTTGTTTTTCGATAACGGCAGAAGGAGTGAGTCCCTCTGTGCTTCTGATGAAGGCTAAAAGTGTTTTACTCCTTTCATGTCGTAGAATGATACACTCTGACACCGCCACCTGGAAAGGTCACCTGCAGCTCCTGAAACAGAGGCAGGATTATTTTCTGATAGTCTGAAAGGGGGGTTGCATTACAGTTAGAGGGCTGATATTTTAGATTGTGTGAAGGTCTTTTAGATATTTCACTTGTTTTATTAAATAAGCAGCTAACTTGAAAGCATAAAAGCACCTCGTGCCGAAACAGACAAGGGTAGAGTCACAGTTTTTTTTTTTTTGCAGTGTATTTATTATCTTTGGACAAAAGAGTAAGATCACAAGACAGACATGCTATGATTTGATGAAACCAAACTTGACCTTTTGGGCCTAAAGGTATATTTAGGCAAAAACAAGACTGTGCATCACCAAAAGAAACGGACCTGATGATTCAGTCAAGGTGGAGGAAGTTATGAGCAGTCCATAAAACCTGTCAGTTTGAACCCAGATCCTTAGGATCTGCTTGAATACTGAGGATGAAGAGGAGATTAATTTGCCAGAGAAACAGTAAGTCCAAACAAACAAGCAAACAAACAAACAAACAAACAAACAAACAAACAAACAAACAAACAAACAAACAAACAAACAGAAAAAGCTCTGAAATAGTCAAGTCAACATTCAGAAGAACAATCTGACAGAGGTCTGAAAGCTGAAACTGATCTTTATCTTTTGTTTTTTCTTTTAGAAAAAAAACAACAACATGCTTTTAAATAGAATCTTACAGCATAAATGTCTCCAAAACAGAGACTTTGTCCGTTTTAACAATCATGACATATTTCCGTCATGATTGTTTTGTCCATATCAGTTAAATTTGTACTGAAGTGACTAACGTATTTTCATAACGGTATATTT